CGGGGAGGGGAAAGGGCCATTGGGGGGGGGAGGGGGGGGCAGATCAAGGCCCCCACGGTGAGGGAGGAAGTGGAGCACAGACAGGGATGGGGGCTGAGGTGAATGGGGCCCCAGCCAGGCCACGTCTTGGGACAGCTGGAGCCTGGGTGGCTCATCCAATGGTGTGGTGGTGGCTCCTGCAGAGGCCCAGGGGTACATGATGTTCAACAAGGACAAGTGCAATGTCCTGCACTTGTGCATGGAATTTTCCATCCTCACTACAGGCTTGGGACCAACTGGCTAAGCAGTAGCTCTGCAGAAAAGGACCTGCAGTGGGCAATAAGCTCCATATGAGTTAACAGTGTGCCTTTGCTGCTGAAAAGGCTAACAGCATACTGGCCTGCATTAGTAGAAGCATTGCCAGCAGATCAAGGGAAGTAATTATTCCTCTCTGTTCTGCACTGGTGAGGCCACACCTGGAGTACTTACTATGTCCAGTTTTGGTCCCCCCACTACAGAATGGATTTGGACAAGATGGGGAGAGTCCAGCAGAGGACAGTGAAAATGGTTAGGGGGCTGGGGCACATGAGTTTTATGAGGAGAGGCTGAGCTTATTTAGTTGGCAAAAGAGAAGACTGAGGGGGGATTTGATAGCATACTTTAACTAACTGATGGGTGGTTCGAAAAGAGGATGGAGCTAAACTGTTCTCAGCAGTGGCAGATGACAAAACAAGGATCAATGCTTTCAAGTTGCAGCAACGGAAGTTTATGTTCTCTATTAGGAAAAACTTTCTCAGTAGGAGAGCAGTGAAGCGCTGGAACAGGTTACTTACAAGGGTGGTGGAATCTATATCCTTGGAGGTTAAGGTCTGGCTGAACAAAGCCTTGGGTGGGATGATCTAGTTGAGGATGGTACTTCTTTGAGCAGGGGGTTGCACTAGATGACCTCCTGAGGTCCCTTCCAACCCTAACTTTTAAATTCTCTTCCAAAGCAGATGGAGGTTTAGGGTACAACTGTTCAGGGAAATATACCAGAAGTGGAGTAAAGGCTGTAGGTCTGCAGGTAGGAGGCAGGGGGAGGGTGGGAGGCAACCCTGTTGGAGGAAGCGATGTAATGGAAACAGCGGTATAGCAAAGTAAGTTATTGGATACTAAGTTCTTTTAAGTTATTGTCACTGTTTGGAAATCAAGCACACAGAAGCATTATTAAAAAAATTGTTAAAGTTGAAAGAAATCTTCACCCAGGGCTGGTCTGTCCTATCCTGTGGAACCTGTGGCCACAGGGGACCCCACAGCCAAGGGGTTGTGCCCCCATTGCTCCCCACTGCCTGCATCATGTTTAAAGTGCTTGATGCAGTCAGGGAGCCCCTTCCCAGCCAAGCGGGGGAGAAGTTCCCGCCTCTGCTCCTGCCCCGACCTCAGCCCAGGGGAGGGAACCCAGGCATCCCCAGCACATGCTGCCCCCACTCTGCACCCCCCACAACACAGCCCACATGCACGCAGCCTGGCTTTGACTATTTTGTTTCAATGAGTTTATACTGCAATTAACTGCAATTTTGATGTTTTTTTAATGGATCAGGGGGCCCCAAAAAATTGTGAGCTGACCTGCCTTCACCATGTGTCACTTATTTAAGGTCTTGCAATTCATGTAGCCTAACTAAATATTTTAAAAAATAACTTGATCCTCTTTATGTAAACAGAGGTAATTTAATGGAAAGGATACAATGAACAAAGGTGTAATTAATGTTCAGTCTTAAGAGATTCCTTTCTAAACTCTCGTGCTTTTCTTTTACAGAGAAAATGACCGGGTGGTCATGGTTAATGGGACCCCTATGGAAAATGTTCCCCATTCTTTTGCAGTGCAGCAGTTAAGAAAAAGTGGGAAAGTAGCTACAATTGTAAGTTGATTCTTGCTAACTATATGCAGTACAAGTGCATCTATATACCCAACAAGAGAAGGAGCATTTTGTGCTAGGTGTAATTTACATACACACAGTAAAGCAGACTGTCCTAACGACCTTGCAAATTAGACAAGCTAAAAAATTGGAATGGGGGGGAATGTTATCATTCCTGTTGTACAGATGGACAACTAAAACACAAAAGGAATGATGTGATGTGAGCAGTGTTGCACGACTATACCATGGAAGAGCTGGGAAATGAATCCGGCTGTCTTGATTTTTAATTCTGTACCTTAATCATATGATCAACCTCAATTGATTTCTCTGTTTTTTGGGGGGGGGTTTTGTTTTTTAAAATTAAGAAACAGAAAGACAACAAGTATGGCTAGACTCTTCTCAAGGAGGTTATAGTCCAAATGGCCACTGTCTGTCCTGGCACTTCCCCTGTCTAAAGAATAAAATTTGCTTTAAAAAAGTCTCTCACAAGTTATCACCTTATAAAAGTAAAAAGCCATTCTTGCTCTGTTTTGAAGGGTGGAACTAATGGAATATTTTAAACTGTAGAAATTAACCATATTTTTTTTAAATTACATTTTGAGAACAAAGCTGTTCGAAATAATGCTTGCAGGCTGGAGGGGGATGTACCATCACTTTCACAACATTTGTATATTTGTTCCTTAGGTTTTCAATTTTTAAACATTTTAAAACCTCTATTTAACAGTTGTATGTATGTCTTTATTTTTATGCACGCAGGTAGTGAAAAGACCGAGGAAAGTTCAGCTCACTGCTCTGAGGAGAAGCCCCTCTCTGGACTACGATGATCGAGCTCTTGATGTTATGGATGACCAAGCCGAGTTTGATGGCAGAAGTGCAAGAAGCGGCTACAGTGATCGGAGCTGGCATGGCGGCAATGGAGGGCGCAGCCAGAGCTGGGGAGACAGTCCTGATCGGAGCTACCGACGAGATCAGGATAGAGGACGCACTTACAGCAGAGATCGCAGCAGAGAATGCGGCTACAGCAGAGATTGGAGTCGTGGCAGGAGCCTTGACAGGGAGAGAAGTTTGGACCAAGATCACAGAAGAGACCGGAGCAGGGGAAGGAGCGTTGATAGAGATGATGGCTATGAACGTGGCTATGGTCAAGCTTACAACCACAGATCTCAACCTGACCTTAGATATGAAAAGGAAGTCAGGAGTCGTAGTCGAGACAGGCTTTGTTCCCGCAGCCCCTCACTTGAAATGCGCCGCCAGCATGAGTTTCTAGGTCAGCGGGTCCAAGATGGGCCTGTCGGTGTTCTCCTAACAAAAAATAAATCCAATGAAGGTAGGTGTATGCAAAGTAATGCGGAACTTAAGACACAATTCTGGTGTAGGGAAAGACTTAAGAAAAAAATGGTTCACATGCAACTGCTTGTTGAATATTCCTTCTCCACTATCGCAGTTTGTATATGAGTTTTTAGTTCAGGCTTTTGTTGTTGGATTTCCTCCCTGCTTGCACCATGCACTACTAATATAATCTCTCCAGGTCACTGAGCTCTTTGGTTCTCGTCCCTGATCTCCTGCCACTCTCTTGTTAGCATCCACAAATTTCAATCAACACTCAAAAAAACAAAACAAAACAAAACAAAAAAAAACCCTGACACTTGCAGGTGAGCCAGCCACCCGAAGCAGAGGAGGCGTTCTGTCCTTCAGGGGGTGAAATGGGTGAATTCTTGCACCTCTAATGGCTCAGGTTTAGGAGTAAGATTCTAGTTCAATCTGTAATTCATTTGGTCCTCATTTGAAGTCTGTCATAAAAAGTAAACGTCTGGTTAAAAGTTAGAGGATGTGAGGGTATAGATGTAAGGCAGGAAACATCCTTGTAGTGTTTCAGAAATAAGTTGTAAACAAAACTACATTTTTAGGTTGAAGTCAGGGTAGAGATGCACCTTTTATAAACTAACTAAATACTGTATTTACTCTATTAGAAGTTGAGGTGTTTTTTTCTCCCAATTTAATGGCGGGCAGGGAATTCCCTCACCTTACAATCAAGTAAGAGATGACGGGCAAGCAGCAGCTCTGGCTTTGGTTTTGCGGGGCTAGAGCCAGAGCTACAGCTGCTGCCCCAAATATTCCTCCCCCCATTGTCCCCACACACGCTGCTTCTCCCTCTCTGCCGCACTTCCCTTTACCTTTGCTTCATGCTGACATGCTCCATCCTCTCTGCAGTATGGAGCACAGGGTGGGAGGAAAAGAAAGGGGTCAGGGATCCAAGGTTGCAGGGGGCAGAAGCAGCGTGTAGGGGGAGCAACCAGGAAGGGGCCTGAGGCTGTGGGGGAAAGGACACAATGGGTGGGGGAAAGGTGGCAGGAGGCAAGCTGCCTGCCCCTCTCACTTCCTGTCCCCTACCATTCCCCCTACCATGTGTCCCCCTGCTACCTCCCCCACTGTCTGTCCCCCTGCTGCCTGCAGTTATTGGGGAGGAAGAGATAAATTTAAGATGATCCTCCAATAATTAGATTCCATACATAGAAAATTTATAATACATTTATAACTTTCCCTTGTAGGAAATCTAATTATTAAGAGTGGGCAGCTGTCTTAAATTCAGGGTCATCTTGTTCAGGTAAATACAGTAGGTAATTAGTCTATAACAGGGGTGGGCAAAATGCAGCCCACGGGTTGGATGCAGCCTGCTAAGCCATTCTATCTGGCCCATGGGACTCCTACAAAATTAAAAAAAATTAATATTTATCTGCTCCTGACTGCCTGTAATGTGGCCCTCAGTGGCTTGTCAAGACTCAGTAAGGGCCCTCCACCCGAAATAATTGCCCACCACCCCTGGTCTATAACATACATCTCTACCCTACTTTCTCCCTGACTTTAGGCAAACACAGCTAACTCCTTCTCCCTACATTTTAGATTGGGCTATGTCAGCACTTTCTAAAAAGTGAACACAGTGGACCATCATGGCTTCACTCCACAAAGTGAAGTCACTCCCTTTAGCGACTACAATTTACTCATGATAAACTCTGTCCTGCTAGCTAGGGCTGGAGGTATAGAGTGATTGTTAAGTCATTCAAGCTATAGACTGATGTTCTGACCTTGATTCCTACCGTGTTTTTTTTCTGTCTCCAGTGGTACAACAGTGGGAGTCTCAACCTGATTAGTTGTTATTGAACAGCTTTCCAGTGGTCATTGATCATGTATTTACTAAAAGAGTTTTTTTTGTCTTTTGTTTCCCCCCACCCTGCAGTCAGCATAGGGGCAGGGGGAACCTTTGTCTTAAATCTGCATACAGAGTAGAGGAGGTGGGGCATACAGTTGCTGCAACTCTGACTCTGGCCTTGAGCCTGGGTTGGGGCTGAAGTCAGACCCACAGCAGCCTCTTCCCCACTTGCACACACTCTCCACTTGCCCTCTGCAACTTTTACCAGCCCCTCCCTTCTCCTAGGCCTCTTCTTTCTCCTTCCTCCCCCCTCACCCCCACTTAGTATCAGATGCAGCTCTGTTCAGGCTCAGGCTGGGTTCCCTCCTGGGCACAGAGCACATGGAAACTCTGTTCCCTGCCTGGCCAGTCAGCAGCACTGACACTGCATGGTTATCAGGGGTGTGCTTTCACATGCTATACTCCAGGAGAGAACAGAACCTGACCAGTGTCTAATAGTAAGGGGATCAAGGAGGGGAAAAGGCAGAGACTGAGGAGCATGGGGCAAGGGGAGGGGCAGAGGCTGTGGGGAGGTGCTGGTAGTGAGAGCAGGAAGGCTGCAGGGGGAAGAAGACTGCATGGGGGAAATGGGAGGGGGCCACTGCAATGGGGAAGGTAAGGGGGCCACTTGAGTCCCCCAGCCACTGCTTTCCCTGCTGTAGCAGTGGGAGTGGGATGTACGTAAGATGAGCCTTCAATAACTAGATTCTGTACCTGGAAAACTATAACTAATTTATACATTTTCCATATATAGAGTCTAATTATTGGGGGATTGTCTTTAAAATCAGGGTCAGCTTGGATCCAAGTAAATATGGTACGTAACAAAATGTGTTCTCTAGCACGTGACTGCAGATGATGTGTGCACAGCATAGGTTTTAGAAACAGACATTTGCTCATTCTGTCAAACAATACAGTGACTTTTTTTTCTTTCCCCCAATCCCTTCTCCAGAATACGGTCTCCGACTTGGAAGTCAGATCTTCATAAAAGAAATGACCACTACTGGCCTGGCAACTAAAGATGGTAACCTGCATGAGGGGGACATAATTCTCAAGGTATGTTCAGGACAAAGGATTGTGCACCATCACTATAAGTGGTGGTGATGGTAATTAATTTATTTATTTTTGCTAAACGAAACTGCAAAAGCTTTTGAAGAGGAAAGTAATGCAGAAAGCACAGGTGGATATGCACCTTAACTAAATAAGATATATGAGCACAAGTTTTCGTGAACTTGAGTTCCCTTCATCAGATGCTGACGAAAGTAATGTCAGCTTTGAAACGACCGTTGCTTGCATTCTTAATTGTTTCCTTATAATAAAACTGTTCTCTTTTCTAAATTTAGATCAATGGTACAGTGACAGAGAATATGTCATTAACTGACGCCCGAAAACTGATTGAGAAGTCCCGAGGAAAACTTCAGTTAGTAGTCCTGAGAGATCGAAAGCAGACACTGCTCAACGTCCCTTCAATGAATGACAGTGATTCAGAAATAGAAGGTGAAGTGTTATAGGGCTAAGAAGTGTAATGTCTGTTCTACTTTCTGTATGGGTACAATCCTAATTCATTGCATCTGCCATAAGACAGTAACAGTGCAGAGGGTTCTTTTAATTGGTACAGCAAACTCTTTCCCTTGGGCATAGAAAGAATCCTGTCACTCTGCAGTGACCTTTCAAAGTGATTTATGAGCCATGTTGACTTGACTAAGCAAACTCCCACAGAAAGAAGGACGGTTGTTTTCAGTGCAAAGCCTAAAACATGAAAATGTGGAATGAGGTCATCTTTGACTCTGTAAGGATGCTGCCACTCTCTTTGGCCTTCCAAGACAGGAGGCCATGATGGAATTTAGTAGTCTGGTGGCTGAGTTTACTGTCCTCCTAGCAGCATATGAATGGTTCATGCCATCATGACCTACATTGCAGGGAGGTACAGGATGCCCCACTAGTAACAGGATTCTGCAAATCAGTAAATAACTCTGCTGTGACAATATTCAGTGCAGCATTTTTCAGCTCTTGTTGCCAAGATTAGAATATGCCTTGGATTGGTGAGTTACAGGAGAAAATGAGTTCCTTTTCTGTGAAGAACCACTAGCAGCTGAGCTTCATATTTCTCACCAGCGAACCTCTAGATTGTCAAATGAAGGATTGGGAAAGAACAGACTCCAACCATTTTCTTTCTGTAGCTCTGCTATGTAAGAGATGGCTGCTCATACTGGCAACTCTTATCTCCTTTTTATTGTTACAGCAATGAGAGAAAGCCCAAGACTGGAGACTCCTCCTGTTTCATAAGTTATTTTGTTCTCTTACTTTAAGCTGCTAAGTACCTTTATTGGAAAGGGCAGCATGTATAGTTGATAAAAATTATAGAAGATTGGGAGAGGAGAAGTGCTTTTGGTGAGACTCATATTAACATGAGTTAGTAAAAGTTTACGTTTTGCTTTTGATGTTTCTTGGAAGTAGGTCCGCAACTTCCAAATATTTCTGAGATTATATTTCCTAAGAGACTGAAGCTCTTTGAGGAACACATTATTTCCTTTCCTACCCTCCCCCACATCTGTTTTTATTAAGGGAGAGTAGGTAATAAATATTTCATATTTTATGCCATGAACTATTGTAAGTAGATTGCTGTGGATAAATGCACAATGACATTGTAGGCATATCTCTTATACAAACTTCCTGTACTGTTAATTTCCTCAATAGATATTTCTGAAATAGAGTCCAATCGGTCATTCTCACCTCAAGAAGAGAGAAGATTACATCATTCTGATGCAGACTCTCATTCGTCCAATGAAAAACTAAAAGAAAAGTCAAAGTAGGATCTGCCACTCTTTCTCTTTCGTTAAAAATGTTTTTTTTAAAGTTGTTTCAGTGTTTCTTTCTTTTTTTACATGCTCAACTTTGTTCTTTCCATTAAGTGCAAAAGATGATTCATCTAGCAGGTTGTCCAGGATGGGAGCAATGCCTACGCCTTTTAAATCAACTAGTGATATTCCAGCTGCTGCTGTGGTCACGGACACTAGCAAAGAACCAGAGTACAAAGAAGAACCACCAGGTCAGAACTGAATCTCCTGTTAGAGGGTTTTGGACTGTTTGTTTTTTGTTGGTTTTGTTTTTTTGCATTCTTTCCGTCCCTTACTTCAGCTGATTGGAGGGAATTTCCTTTGGGACTGTTAGTGCAAGGGATATAAACCCTTGTACTTCAGGATTAAGCCATGCATTAACAGAAGGGAGTTACAAAGAGCATGCTTTATGGCTCCTCCAGTTACTCTGTAAATAGCAGTTCATGCACAGATTTGCACACATATCTGTGTTTCTAATAAAGGATTATATCTTTATTTTGTTGAAAAAAAAGTACAGAAGAGAAGCAAAGGTAATTCCTGAAAGTCAGACGTAGACTCTTACCCTCGGTAGGATTGAATCTGTGCATGTGGACTGACACAAGATAAAATCCTGATTATTACAGTGTATAGCTAAAGTCTGACTGCACAAGGGGTCAGGACCATCACCCATTATCTCCTAGATAAGTGGGAGTTAAAGGTATAGACTGACTTTAAAACTTATATCCAGTCACTTCGACAGGAATAAGCCTAATTGCTTCTGGGGAGACCTAAAAGGGGAAAACTAGGGATATCTGAATACCAGGGATTCCTTATGAGAGAGAAATTGGAGGTGGAGGGAAAGTCCCATCTCATGGGGTTTACACAATTGAGGGATGAGCTTGGCCCCATATCACAGTACAACTTTCACTATTAGACACTAGTCAGAGAAGTGCTTGCATGTTAGTTTTATAGGCCCTCTCGCCCAGATTAAAGGCAGAAAACATTTTAATTTATATCATGATATGTGAAGTCTTGTTTGTCCAAATTAATCGTTGTTATTTTTATGTTTTTAATTCTATATGTGTGTGTATATATGTATATGCAGTGTCTCAGCCAAAAGCGATCCCAAGAACGTTTCTTAAACCCAGTCCTGAAGATGAAGCAATATTTGGGTAGGCTTTGTTAAAATGTGTTTTTTCTCATCTTCTCTCTCAGTTGTTTTTCTTGTTGCCTCATCCTGTTTTCTTTATGCCTTGTAACTGATGTGCTGTAAATAGTTCTATACCAGGAATGGGCAACTGTGTTTCTACATTAAATAGGTAGCTGACAGCCACCTAAATCAGTTTAGTTCTTAAAGGTTAGTGTGAGATGTACATACGGTCTGATTTCAGACTGGGCAATTTTAAAGCTGATTAAGCACCTGTCTCTTTAAATTTAATTTTGAGTACATGAAAGCAATAGCATCTTAGACAAATGTTAGTATGTATCTCTGTGTATGGACCTGAGACCTTTACTTTCAACTATGATTCTCTGACATCCAAAAAACCCCATTTTGAGAAGCAGTGGTATAATCTGATATAAAAGTGTGTGTGTGTGTGTGTATTTTTCCCCCAAAGTTACTGGAATATCTGTGAAAATACAGTAACTTTGAAGAAGACAAATTCTTACCAGCTTGTTTCTCATATGGTGATAAGGCCTAGATATGTCAAACCTATTGTTGTGCTCACCAGTCCCTGGCCCCATCTACATATGCGCATAACTTCAAAGTAGACTAATTGGTTTTTGAGTAAAGTGTCACTTTCCACATTTGTGACACTATTAGGCCAGAGTAAACTAATTAACACTGTCCTAAGATCATATTTTCAGGGGCAGTACTATATTATGACAGGGTAATAAACTGCGATTAAACACACATGTAGACATGGGCAACTGGTCCCTCCTGAGTCTAGGGGGCATCCGCAGAAGCCGCCGCCAGCGGGCACAGAGCTGGTGAGCATCCGCAGATGTTGGCAGTGGGGGTGCCCTGTCATGGGGGGCATGTTGAGCTCCCACAGATGCTGCCAGTGGCAGGGATGACCCTGTTAGGGGGGCACATGCCCCCTCATACCTTTCTTACCAGTCGCCTATGCATGTAGAATCTGACTGAAATTGTGCCCAGTCAACCCAGTCAGCAGGGGACTAGACTGCTGCCTACCACCTAGCCACGCAGCTCCATACTTTCAGCACCCTTGTGCCCCAGCCAGCCCCTGTGCCACCCAACACTGCCACCTGGGGCTGAGCCCTTGGCCGTGGCATAAACTGTTCCACCCCAGCTCAAAGTTGCTGCTGCCCCAGGTGCATGTGTAGACACTGGGTCCAGGAGCAGTTTACTCTGGCTCAGACAGCTCCAGAGTACTGTTCTGCATTAATTGTGTGTGAAGATTGCACCCCTTGAGTGTCTACATGTTAATTAAGAAGCTTTTGGTAATGCACATTAAATTTAGTACCTCCATTGTGAGGTACTAAAAAACAGCACATTAGTGAAAGTGCACAGGTTTTTTGAGATGTTTTAATGTGCATTAGCCTGTTTTAATACACATTTAAAGTGCAAGTGTAGACGTGCCTCCTGAGTGACACATACAACAGGAGAGCTCTGCATCTAAATGTGCATCTTCCCAATGCCCAGTTTCTGTACTGTGTATTTGTGGTTGTATACTCACTCAAAAATAAGAAGAAACATGGGTATGGAACTAGGGCCATATGTTTTTGATAACCTTTTACAAAGTGGCCTCATTTAATGTAATGCTCGTCAGAGCATTTTATGGATGCAGAGAAGGGCTGATAACTTGAATCAATAAGGTAATTTATAAAAGTGAATCACTAAGGTAATTTATAAAAGAGCTACCTAATTACTCTCTTGATATGATCTTAGCAAAAGGGAAAAACACTGGGTTTCACAGCCACCAGAGCAAACTAGTTGCAGATTGGGACTTCCGGGCAAAACCTACGGAAGGCTAATTGAAGAACTGTTAGCTACACAACCCCAGTACAGTTGTGTTTAAAAATATAAGAACTGATATACCACTGGGATGTTTTGGGGTTTGTTTCCTCCCCCCAGAGTCAGGCCCCGTGTTTTTACTCAGACCATATCTGTATACAAGTTAACACACTAGTATTTAACTTCAGTTTTGTTGAGGAAAGTTCATGGTAGAGGCTCACAAGGGCATGTAGAGTGAATGATGGCACAGACGCTGTCCTTGATGTATAGAAATCATCTGGGAACATAATATTTCTGTGGGGGAAGACAACTAAGCCTACTCCAACTAAGCCTATCTGTCCTTGGAAGAAAAGGAGTTAATGTTTTATCAAAACAATTTGATATTCTTAGGTATGCTTCCAACACAGAGCCTCTAGACTTCCCTTTATCTCACTGTTTTGTTAATTAACTGGTAAATGTAATTCACCTTCTAGATCATATGGAGAGGTAGATTATCACTTCACTCTAAATACTATACAGGGAGGGAAAAGCTGGATTTGATTACTCATAATTCACTTAAATTATAACATTAACAAGTAGCTATGTGCTTGAGGCACATAGTCCAGTACTTACAGTGCTGGTACAAAACATTAGAAACCTGGGTTCAGTTCCCTGCTCCACTGCAGTCTTGTGTCATCTTGGAAAAGTTATTTGTGGCTAGATCCAAAATAAGATCTTGTTTGCATTTTAGAAGCCTAAATTCCTGTGTAAATTATTCGGAAAACAGCACCTACCTGCTAATGTCTATTAGTGAAAACTTAGCTGCCCATACATTTATAGATTTTTTTTTTTTTTTAATTATTATTATTTTTTTTTTTTATTTTTTTTTTTTATTTTTTTTTTTTATTTTTTTTTTTTATTTTTTTTTTTTATTTTTTTTTTTTATTTTTTTTTTTTATTTTTTTTTTTTATTTTTTTTTTTTATTTTTTTTTTTTATTTTTTTTTTTTATTTTTTTTTTTTATTTTTTTTTTTTATTTTTTTTTTTTATTTTTTTTTTTTATTTTTTTTTTTTATTTTTTTTTTTTTTTTTAATTATTATTATTTTATTTTTTTAGTTTCCTAAATTTCTGCTTCTCCACATGCCCCAGAATGCTGCTATCGTAGCTAAGCTTAGCATCTTGGCACTTATCTCCTGCCTAAGCCTGTGTATTATTTAAAGTATTAATTATACGTATCATTGAATCATGGGAAGGTAGGGCCTGGAATGGACCTCATCTAGTCCATGAGATCATCTAATCCAGCCGTCTGCTCAAGGGAGGATTATCACTGACTAGACCATCCCAGCCAAGTATCTGTCTAACCTGCTATTGAACACTTTCAAGGATGGAGATTTCATGACTGGTCTAGATAACCTGTTTCAGTGCTTGACTGCCCTCATGTTCAGAAGGTTCTTCCTAACCTCCAACCAAAATTTCTCCCGTTGAAACTTCAGGCCATTGCTCCTAGTCCTGTCCTCTATATCCACAGAGAAAATCCCATCTCTGTCCTTCCTGTAGTCACCCTTCAAGTATTTGAAGCCTGTTACCAAATCCCCCCTCAGTCTTCTCTTCTCCAGACTAAATAACCCTAGGTGAGGAGTGTGTTCCCATCTCAGCCTAGCTTGTAGCTTGTGAGCTAGGATGCTGTCCTGGGAGGTTCGGGTTTCAACTTCCTTGCACTGAGGAAGATACTGAACCCAGGTCTCCCTCTTCCAAACCAAGTACTTTAACCAGCAGGGTATTATATAAAGGGCAGGTACCAACACCACCACCACCACCATATCCTTTTTCAGCTAAAAGGAAAGGATGAGAGAGATTTTCATACCTAAGGAGGTGAGAGTTAAGTCCAAGAAGCATCCTGCCTGTTGTGTGCCCCCTTCTTAGGCACCTGATTCTCCCCATCTCCTATATAGTGAAGTAAGGTGCCTGACTTAGATTTCTGAATTCCACTCCCTGAGCTGCACTTCTAAAATATTGGTATGCTGATACTTGGCATTACCCGAATATCATGAGATGCTGAAACACAAGCATGAAAGGGTCATAGATAAATATTTGTATAGAAGTTTGCTTCTTATAAACTTACTGTCATGTGTGTGTTGATATTTGGCTGGGATTTCTCTTTCTGCATGTCTGCATTCCAGCCCTAATACAAAGATGGTGAAATTCAAGAAAGGGGACAGCGTGGGCCTCCGGCTGGCTGGTGGGAATGATGTAGGGATATTTGTTGCTGGAATTCAAGAAGGCACTTCAGCTGAACAGGAGGGGTTACAAGAAGGAGATCAGATTCTTAAGGTACCAGTGGATTCAACCCTGGAACTAAAAGTGATTGATTATTTCTTGCCGCCATGTGAAAATGAATTGCTTTCTTACTTTTATCAGCTCAGAAGTATATAAAGCCGTTTTGAGATTATCTGTAAAGATCACCTTTGAAACCTTAAATTTTGGCTTTTGCAGTTGAATCTAAATTGACTTCAGTCAGAGAAAATGTGAGAGATTTGTCAAGAGAAATGCATAAAGATGGAGAAGACAAATTTTAGTGACTTTTCCAATCTTGAGTTGAAAGGTACACGTCAAGGCACAGAAGGGGTGGGCTGTTATTTTCTCCTCCCCCTTTCCATTTCCCTCTTTGTTTTTTTTTTTTTTCACTCAAAAAACTTTTGAGACTTCATTGCGGTCCTCTTCTGGTCTGTTATGTCTTCCTCCTTCTGAGTTTTCTGTTCTGTCTATTTTTTCCTCACTTTGGGCCTGATTTTTTTAAAGCCCTTTTAAACCAAAGAAAAGATTCCCTTTGATTTCGGCGGAGTTCCAGTCAGGGCTGTAATCCTCTACTTCTTTGGTTGACCTGAACAGATTTTGCAAAGTTATCTCCTCTTTTGAAATATTGATTCTTCTTTGCTTCTCTTCCCTCCCCTCCCACTCTTCTTTCTTCCTGCAGTTGGGAGCAGCTGTTCAGAATTTCCCTAGCCCTCCTACTGGGAGTGGAAGTCACTGGTATGTCCAGATAAGCAGCTGATAGGCACAGATGAAAGGGACTGTGGGGAAGCACTGTTGAGAGAGGCAACCACAGGAAGCTGTGCTGTGTTCACAACTCTAATGCCAGGCATAGCATGTATAACTGGAATATATCAGGATGATATTTAAACTAGGATACAAACCTGTGATGAATTCTATAACCAGCCAAGACACATGAGGGCACCTAATTCACCTGAAGGTCGTTAATCAATTAGCAAGAACTATGCACTTCAACTAAGTAGGACTCTAGCACTACACAATATGTGGAAACATTATTTCCTGGCTTGGAGTAATGCTCTCCACCCTTGATTGTTATGCAAATAATCAGGTATTTTATAGTCTTTCCTAAAAGAAACTAAACATCAGTGCACTTTCAGGAAATCCTTGTCAGTTCTGGAGTTCATCCTCTGTGTACAAAAAGTGTTCATCATTATAAACTAATGAACCTCTGTATTGATTTTAAAAAAACCCATGATAAGCATTCTCTTCCTTTCTTCTTTTTTTCATTTTTAAAATAATTTTTTCTTTAAAATCTTAGTTTTGTTTTCTTTTGTTTCCTATCAGGTGAATACACAAGATTTCCGAGGCCTTGTTCGGGAGGATGCCGTTCTCTACCTGTTAGAAATTCCCAAAGGTGAAATTGTGACCATTTTGGCTCAAAGTAAATATGAAGGTAGGCACTTAAAACCAAGGCGTAAAAATATTTTTGTTACAAATCATTGTGCTAGTCTATGAAAATAACATCAGACCTTTTTGGCTCAGCTGGTACTGTGACACGACAAATACTCTTTGTTCTTACTCTTACACTTGCCCTTCAAAACATGTCATTCACCTTTATTTTCAAAATTTTAGAAAATTGTTGCTGGTTATTATAGAGGATACGGGGAGGAGTTATAGGCTGGCTCCTTCACCATCCAGGTGATCAAGAAAGAGTTCAGAGTTGTACTCCCCCCTTCCCTCCCCAATTAAAAGCACTCCTTGTGAGCTTGAATCTTAAAGCTTGTCCCTCCCATGCTCAGTATCTTTTACCTTTAACAGCTAGATGCCTGCTTCTTGCAGCTTTCCTCTTCTGACAGCAGTTCCTCTACAACAGTGATTCTCAACTAGGGCACTCTGTGGTACCACAAGATCCTTTTGAAGGGTGCCCATTTCAGGGGGGCATAGGAAGTGAGATAAGCAAATAAAGGCAGGCTGAGGCTTCAGGTGTGAGGAGATAAGCTGATAAAGGCAGGGTCAGGCTGCCCCCTGCCTGGCTGTTCCCCCTACCTGCACAGCCTGCCTCTTTGCAAGGAGATGTAAGCCCTCAAATGAACAAATCTGTTTTTGAAACTGGGTGCCATTCAATTCACAAAAGTGATGGAGAGATGCCTTGATTCTGAAAAGGTTGAGAACCACTGCTCTACAGCTCTCCTGGGGTAATGGATGTTAGTTGAGACTTATTTAGATCTAATTAAGTGTCTGATGTGTGCTGCCTGACTACACTTTTAGCTGCATAATGGGCACCAGGAAAAGACTGAGAGTTCCTTAACTTGTCAGAAGATTGTGTGTGCATACTGGAGCACACGGATGTGAAGGCTGACAAAACTAGGTGAGGTGTCAGCATTCAGATGTCCAGTTCCCAGTGGTGGGAGAGTCTGGGGCAGTTTTGCGTAATGCTGGAGGGCAGCATGTCTTGCCTCTAGTCACTGAGTAAACCAGTGACAGTAACCAGATCCAGTGAGAACCAGATCTACCCAATCGTGTCAGAATGAGGCATTGCTGAACAAAGATGCATCTAAATTTATATATAAGACAGAGAGAAAAGGAGAGGAAGAAAGAGATTAACATGGAGGGCAGGTACATGGGACATACTGGATCACTTTCTTTCTCATCCTTTGTCATGTCAAGCCTGTAGCTGGCAGGCCAGATCCAGCCCTTGGAGCCCCATCTTCTGGCTCCTGGTGCTGCTTCTGGGTCCTCAGTTGACCTCCATGCTGCATGTGTCATGGATTGGGCCAGACAAACCCCTCCTGCAGGGCACAGGACACATGTCACAGCACCCATTCCAGCCAGCCCAGGATCAGTGCTACATGCAGCACCAGCCCCGGCCGGTCCGGGACTGTACTGCACGTGACATCCCCCAGACGGCTCCAGAGTGGGTGTCTCGTATAGCATGGGTCCTGGACTAGTTGGAATGGATGGCACATGTAGTATGTTTCCCCAGCCAGGCCCACAGGCACCATGTGTGCAGAGTCCCAGACTGGCTGTAAAAAGTGCCACATTACTGGATACTGCATTTTGGGGGGAGATGAGGAGCGTGGATCCATGGGCCTGATGTGGGCTGCAGACCATTCATCCAGTCCTGGGACTGGTGCTGTGGGGCCAGATTTGACACCCTTGCTGCAGGTGAAGGGGAGGAATTTCAGACTGTGTTGAATGGAACATCTCTCTCCATTTAACCTTAAGTAAGGCACTAAGTTTGAAAAGGGTATTGAGCAAAGGCATTATCCATAGAACTCTGTTCCAGGGATGGTGTAGAGCATTCATTTAGCAAGTGGAAAAGCAAATAACTAATAGACAAGCTAAAGTAACGAGTGTCTCTTCTTTCAGTGTACAGAGACATAATGGCCTGTGGCAGAGGGGATTCATTCTTCATAAGAAGCCACTTTGAATGTGAGAAGGAATCTCCTCAGAGTTTAGCCTTCACCAGAGGGGAGATATTCAGAGTAGTTGATACACTGTATGATGGGAAACTGGGAAACTGGTTGGCTGTGAGAATTGGAAACGAACTGGAAAAGGGCATCATTCCAAACAAAAGCAGGTATGTTGGTTTTTTTTTTTGGTTTTTTTTTTCCCCCCTCCCCTCCCCCGCCCCCCATCTTACCACTCAGAGACTTTTCTCATTTGCTTTGTTGTATCTTATCTAAATCTTTACTCCTATACTCCTAATTTGCTTGGGGAAAGGGATGGAAAGAAATTAGACAGCATTCACATCCATAACAGTAGTGAATTTAAATAACTTCTAAAGCTGTGGAGTTGATGGGGAACCACTGACAATGGCTGGTCTTATGGTTAAGGCATTGGATCAGAGCTTAGGAGATCTGGGATCTGTTCCCAGTTCTGCTGTAGATTTGTTTTGACCTTGAGCTGGTTATTTAATCTCTGTGCCACAGTTCCCCATCTGAAATAATGATGGTAATAGTTACTAGCTCCAAATTAATTCACCCGCGTGCATGTCAGTGCCCCCACTGTGACCTTAAACATGATCACAACTCAATTTTTTAAGCACAATAAATAACAAAAAAAGCCCCGACCCTTCAGTTTTTTTCTTATAAAGTTCCTAAAATTACTTGAAGCGTGTGTATATGGTACCTTAGGTGATGTTCCTATTCTGTGCAGTGCACTGTAATCTTTGCTTGATGATTCTGATTTCTCATCTTTATTTCAAGTCACTGTATATCCAAGGCAGTGGGGAGGAAGAGGAGAAGGAAGCAGTAGTTAGGCCCTTTGCCCCTCAGTTCATTAGGGGTTGCTCTTCTGGTTTTCCTATCTCCATGTGCACCACCTCTTTCTCCAGTGGATGTTGCATTGGGCATTTCAGTGCATTGCAGCCAGGTTCCTTTTGTGGGCTAATTCTTGAACAACAAACCTTGCAGGTCTAGCATCAGAGCAGTGCTCTGACTCAATTTTGCTTGCTTCAAGGCAAGAGTTCCTGGATCTTCCTCCACAAGTTGCCTCACTGCTGAGTTCTTCATTTCAGATACAAATTCCTACATTAGATTCTGCTGAAGTTCTTGTGTGAACCATGGGGTATTTCTTCCCCCAACTCTCCCCACTCTGAGTGATTTCCTATCTGCAAATGGATTCTCTGCTGTTTCTTTCAGAGCTGACCAGATTGCCACTGTTCAAAATGCCCAAAGAGATGGCTCAAGTGATAGGGCAGATTTCTGGAGAATGCGTGGACAGAGATCCGGAATGAAAAAGAATCTGAAGAAGAGCCGTGAAGATTTGACTGTTATTGCATCTGTTAGCACAAAATTCCCAGCCTACGAGCGAGTTCATCTGCGAGAAGGTGAGTGAGACTTTTACAAAACAGATAGCATTTTTATAGCTAGGTGCTCCTGCCCAGGTGCTGCAGGCTAGCTGCTAGTCACCTTGGGCTCCAAGCTAAATTTGAAGTATAACTGAAAATGGTCGAATCATCTTAGTCAAGATGTTGACTTCAAAGTGCAGCTATTCTCTAGTAAAAACAGTGACTGTAAAAGTTGCTGTGTGGAATTTCATGCATGCGATGGAGAAGCACTTCCAAATCAAGTTTGCCAATCTTGCAAGCAGAAAGATGGTTTGGATTTGATTTTTGGTTTTTTGGGTTTTTTTGTTTGGATTTTTTTTTTAATTGGGTGGGTTGGTTTGTTTGCATTTTTTTTTTTCTAGATTTTATTTTAGCTTTTTTTTGTGTTGTCTTCTGTACCTAGTGGCTAGTCTGATAGACAACCTGGGATATAAAAAAATCAAGCTACATTTTTTTTCTGGCTCATTTATATAACATGCTGAGATTCTCCAGGGCAAACGAAAATCTGTTGCCTTTCATAGTGTGTAGATTTAACCAAAGATAGAATTTATCACTGCGATTGCAGTAGCAACTTGGCTCTAATTCTGCTGATATTGAACATGTCACAATAGTTGTCAGTTAATTCTCCCATGTTGTGTTTGCTCCACTGTATTAGAAGGAAATCAAATGATAAAAACACTTCCAGAGAAGTCATTCAGGAACTATCAGTGACAAATCCCCTTGCCATTGGTATACAAGGGCCATGACAATCTTTGCATTAGCTACAAAATAATAATAGATCTTGCAGTTCCCTCCTCTTTGCCCTTGTAAGCTGCTGTGCTCCTGCCCACACTTAAGCATGTATGTAATTTTACTCACATGCATCCTGCTGAGTTTAGCATGGTTTTGTAGTACACTGATGGATAGACTACTGAAGTGATGTTGTATATACTCAAATGGTAATTTTCTCAGCCATACAATGGTTATGGAGAATGTGGAAGATCATCTATACTGTCTTATCCCTTTTTCTTTCATTAAAAAATTCTCAGCTTTTTCCTATTTGTAAAACACATAGAAAACTTATTCTTTACATGAATCACTAGGAATGGAGAGAGAGTAGAGTTTGAGGATATTCACTCATAAATATTAAACTGAACCTCATATATTTCTGTTTCAGTATTTATTACCATGGTGATTTTTATATTTAAAGCCTTTTCCCTCTAAATATTTATCTTTCAGCTGGTTTTAAGAGACCTGTGGTAATATTTGGCCCCATTGCAGACATAGCAATGGAGAAGCTGTCAACTGACTTACCTCATCTGTATCAAACTGCCAGTAAGCCCTTCATTATTTTTTTTTTTAATGTGGCTTTTTCTCTCTACTCCTTCCCCAACCCTCATTTCATAATTAACAAAAACATGTTATTGCAGAGACCGAACCTAAAGATGCAGGTTCAGAGAAGTCCACTGGAGTGGTGCGTTTGAACACTGTGAGGCAAATTATTGAGCAGGTAAAGTATTTCTGCTTGAAAACACTTTCAAGAACAGGAACCTTTTTATTCTTTCATAGTTTCATAGACATTAGGGCTTCTCTGGTTCCTAAGAATTTGGAGCAAGAATCTGGAAGTGTTTAAGGACCACAAAAATAGTCACCTGAATTTGAAATGAAGGTGCAGCTGTGCTGAGACGTGGTCACTGATCTTATTGCCTTTTTTGTTTTTCCTTTTCACATTCACAGGAAAAAAAAGTTTGCAGATAAGTATGAAGATGAGCACACCCATGTCTTGCATATCTTTTTTAAAAATAAGCAACCTGTGGACTAGTCTAAAAATAAGCCAAGCCTGAATTCAGTGGTTGAAAAATGCTGCACTGTCACTATAATGACAGAACTGTACTTTCTGTAACCTCCAGGGCCACTTTCACTGTGAGCCCTTTGTCCCTCTGTATGAATGGTGATTGATAGATGACACCCCAAAGACTGAGAGAATTAATTCTGGCCTGGGAAGCAGACCAGGGATAGGTAGAGAAACGAGAAGAAAACAAGTGACAGAGGGAGGCAAAAGGAATAAAGGAATAGAAAAGGGAATAAGAACGTTACACCCAACGTCAGAGTCAGTAGATGTGAATAGGATTTATGATTTTTGAGGAGAGTATTAGCATGGCTATAACTCTGGCTGGGGTTGTGGAAGCATATTGACACTTCCCCCCTCCAACTGAAGCACTAATTTGGGCCTTCTTTGTTAACAGGACAAGCATGCTTTGTTGGATGTGACTCCTAAAGCTGTAGATCTATTGAATTACACCCAGTGGTTCCCGATTGTCATCTTTTTAAACCCAGACAGTAAACAGGGTGTTAAAACTATGAGACAAAGGCTCTCTCCCACATCCAACAAGAGCTCCCGCAAGCTTTATGAACAAGCAAATAAACTGAAGAAAACTTGCCATCATCTCTTTACAGGTAAGCAGGAATCTCTCTAATTTTGTCTCCTAAGAACAGTGGGTGCAGATAGAATGCTTTTCTTTATCAAGAAGTTTAAATGATTATGACTTATGTATCCTGTGCAAATTTGTGCTAATATGCTTAGGACCAGTTTCTGGTCTTAATGTATTTCAATATAAAAGCAATTTTCAAGGGTTTTTTGGAGATTACTGTATCCTATTTATTCTAGTAAAACAACAAAGTAAGTAGCATTTATACAGAGTCATTTTTCTAATAGCCACAGAAAATCAAGCATTGCATTTTTGCCAGTGGCCTACTTAAAATAGCTTATAAAGTAATCTTGCATTATCCAGGACTTGGTTGCATGAATGAAATGGGTATTTGGAGGTTTCTGAATTTAAAAGAAGAATTTCTGTGAAATCTGTGATTCACTTTTTTTTAATGCTTACAGCCACTATCAATCTGAATTCAGCCAATGATAGCTGGTATGGCAGTCTGAAAGATGTGGTTCAGCAACAGCAGAATGAAGCTGTATGGGTGTCAGAAGGAAAGGTAGGTTATCAAACAGTTCAAATTGTATTAGAAAAGTTGTATCTATGTTCTGGACATCATGGTGGGGGGGGTGTTGCGTGCGCATGCGCGCACACATGCACACGTGTACATGAGTTTAAAATGTTGTGTTGGATGGCAAAAATAAGTTTAGGGGTTTTTTTGCTTTGTTTTGTTTTAGAAAAAGGTCCATGATAAATGTTCTATTCTTTTCCTTTTATTTCATCCTGCTGTTCTCGCTACTAAACTGAGGCAGGCAATTGTTTCTAAAGAATATACATAACATTCTACTGGAGGGCTTTCCTGTTCCTGGGGATGCCAGAGTTCTTGCAGTAGTATGTCTCTTCTGTATTGTGTTTTATAGATTAATGCTACTCAGAGCTTATAAAGGGGGATGAAGTCCAATCTAATTCTTTCAATTCACCTTCATAGTTGGAAGGAATGGATGATGATGCCGAAGATCGCATGTCATATCTAACAGCTATGGGTGCTGACTATCTGAGCTGTGACAGTCGCTTGATTAGTGATATGGAAGACACAGATGGAGAAGGTGGAGCGTACACAGACAATGAACTTGATGAGCCATCAGATGAACCAAGTGTTTCCTCTATTAGCCGTTCTTCTGAGCCTGTGCATCATGAGGAGGTGAGCTACTTGGACTGCTGACAAAGCTGCAGCTCCCTGAAGTGATGCATGTTATGAAAAACTAATAGCCAACATCCTCATAATCCAGGCCTGAGAAGGCTGATTCCAGCTGCAGAATGATATTGGCCCTGGTACAAAATTACAAAGGCATGTTAAAATCAGGCACAATATCTGAATTAACTCGCCTAATTCTGTTTTTCTCTGCTGGTGACTTAGTGTCACCTGTGGTGTTGCAGTGATTCAATGAAGGTCATTGGGTCACCAGTAGTAATGTGGCAACTATATAACTACCCCATTAAAGCTAACCTTAACTAATTAGTAGATTGCTGGATAGTAGAGGAGCACGGATGCATCGGTCAGATATCGGCCTGATGGGGCCAATAAATGCCCATGCTGCGCGCAGTCGCAGAGCAGCACTCGGGCAGCAAGGAGCAGAGCCTGGCAGTGTGAAGAGCTGCATGCTACTGGTAAATTCAGTGTAGTAGAAGGATGTTGGGGGGAGGGAAGGGGCAAAGGGGGGTGCAGATCAATGCCCCCGCAGTGAGGGATGGGCAGGGGCAGGCACTGCTGGGGGCGGGGGCAGAGCCACAGCTCATGGGGGC